ACTAAAGAGCTATTGATAACTATCAAAACGCCTGCCATTTCACATAAATAAAATTCAATGAAACCAGAATATTCCCATTAGCGCTTCTTCTTGTGATATCAGTTGTGAAATTAACCTATTCGTTCTCAAAACTTTATTCCATGAGATGATTTGGACGAACAGATTTTTAGTTGCCTGTCCTTGAGAGCTAAGTCGAACATCCGTTCGAATTGCAAAAGAAATTGCATACAAGAGTGTGATTAAGGTCAACAGGTTGACATTTTCATCGTTAGAGTGATGGTAGTGGAAATTAATAAAATAAAGAATCATTTTACTAAAAAACTAATGAAATCTGCCACACAAATGAGCAAACACACTAGTTAAAGTTTCCAATAGGGAGACGTGTGTTTTTATAGGAGTTTCATTAAAAAAGGTCTCTATAACGCCGCTTTCCCATTCATCTTGGATAAAATAACAGCTTATTATTAATGTTATGGAACAATTATTTTGTCGATATACCCTTTTCTAACTCCTGACATTTTTTTAAACACTGTAATTACCCTCGGTCATGCAATTTTAAGGTTATATAAGCAGTATAAGACTATTTAAGATTATCTGTCTTTTTCTAATCTTTTGAGGAGAAAAATGTTTAAAGTGTCAAGACAGACCGATGATTGATCAGACAACCCCAGCAATTAGGCGCCGAAGACAGAAGACAACGTTTCTTTCAGTAATTCAGTTAATAAATTTTGAACTCGGAATAGTAAAACTGGCAAATTAAATGAGCATTGGATATTTAGAGCTCTATATTCAAATTAGCTAAAGCTGGTTTACAATTTGAATTCACATTCGATCTCATTGTACTCTATCCTCAATTCCCTTATTAGAATAAATCAATTTGTCTTCGGGGAGAAAATATGGCGATTTTTCATACTTTTTTGGGTGAGAATAAATTTTTAAGTAAAATCTATTATCGGATCAACTATGACCTGAAGGTTCACCTCGACAAGACAAATAAAATAGGTTTTGATCTTCAACGGATGTAATATTTTTTTAGAATAACTGTTTCTAATTTTACTTGTAATAAAAGTTTGAATTAAAATATTGTCTATTATTAGGCATTTTTAATAGATCTATTTCAGCACATTTGATTTTTTCCATATAAGTCATGTTTTATTCTTTTTTTTAAGAGTTAAGCACCAACTGCACCGTTGGCACCAGTATGCTTCCACAAAGATGAGAGTTCGTTACTTTCTAAAGTAGTGTTAGTAAGTTTCTTTTTCTCGGTGAAAGGTGCGGCGTCCCCATGAGAACACGGAAAGTCAAAAACGGGGTCACAGAAGACCGATAGAACCTGTTTCTTCAAAACCACACTTTGTTGTAAAAAAGCACACCATATAGGAGGCTCTTTTTTTGTTTAAGTTTGGGTAGATTTGTGAGAATCTTTCAGGTTTTTTAGAAAATCTAAAAGAGTAATCAAGGCAATACGCCAACTATGATTATGAGATTTTAACAATGGCATTATTCACCTATGGCGGTCAATTCCAACTGATTTTAGGTAGTTTGTGTGGAATTCTTTATTGGATGTAACCACACAGTGCAAATTTCAAGACAACCGACATCATCACCCAGATATGGATGTTTTCTTCTTTTGTTCAAACTATCTGATTGTTGAATGAGGAATCGTGAAAGCGAAAATTAATGATAGCCATTGTTCTTGAAAAGTTACACCCACAGGAACTTGATTCCAACCACATTCAAAGCTATGCTCAATTGTAGGCCTCTAAGAGTGGATGAGCATTCCTAAGAACAACCGCTGCATGTACCTCAGCAAACAGTCCATTTGCCGCTTTCCCCCTATATTCTCAGCTTGCATGTAAACACATTCCGAATTTCTTTTCTTTAATAGCAAAGTCCGACGTTTATTCCTGCATTTTTTTACTGACGGATGAGAATAATTACTTCCAGATCTTCCTTTTTCTTGCCAAGTTCCTATCCTACATGTCGAACTCATTATGAAAATTGGGTATGCTATGTAATTATACCCAAAATCGATGAGAGTTCTCACAGCTTTCTGGAGTTCTTGAAGTTGATAGGCTCCCAAAAAACCACGTTGGGTTGTCCAATTGACTACGTGCAAGGAGATTTTACTTTCTGTGGGAAGTGATCGGCGAGTTTTGATGCCCTGCCTCAGCCGAATCAAACCCGCAGAGTTTAAATGGGTGCGGGTGGTCTGACCCTTCGGTCGCTATAAAACGCAGGAATGGAAATGAATTTATTTCAAAGTACTCCTCCCCTCCCCTCCCCCCCCCTAGCTTCCCATTTTTTTGCCCGGCGTTGGTGGCGGCCATGAGGCCAGACCATCATTCCGGAAAATTTACGACCTGGGGCGCCATTTGATGACACAGCCATTCACCCACCCATCCTCCTCCCTTCCATTCGCCTCTAGGCCACCACAAAACCACCCACGAAGCTGGGCGGTTGACCTTAGTGCCAACGTTTCTCTTGGTGATGCTGGCTCTGTCAAATTTTCTTCTTTCGTCCCCATAGATACCCTGTGACCCATTTAGTCGCTCCCTTTCCATTCACATTCATCTTCTATTATCTACCGAAAATGGAAGATGCCGGATAATCATAAAAAATATTGCAAGTATGTATAATTCGCTTTTACTCTTATAAACATTACCATAATTTTCAGCCAGTACGAAACGAGTAAAGAAAAACGTTATTGTCAAGAGTTCTAAAAACTTCTCATTAGAATTCCTCGTTATTCATTAATTCGGTATTTCACATACAGAAGGTGTTATGTCATGAAAAGACGCGATGAACCACCTAAGAAATTTTAAATATATAATTGAATAAAACTTGGTTCGTTTTTGACTTCAATTTATTATGGTTAAAGAAGGTTATTATGAAAATAATTTAACCATTCCTTCTATAAATCGGACATGGAGTAATGAGGCTTGATCTCGTGACAACTAACATGACGGAAAGGACACTTCGATCACCGCGTGCCGTTTAATTCAATTAATAGTTCGAAGCATATATTTTAATGGTATTTCTTTATTCTTATAAAACCGATAATGAGTGAGGTGATTTTTTTTCATTTGAGTGAACTCATTATTATTTAAATTATTATGCATTTCTTTGTCAAGTAAAAGCGATTTCAAAATGGGAATGTGGCTCTAAGAAAAGTGCGTCACCGTTTTCGATTAAAAATAGTAATTATTGAGTTACTGTGCAAGGTATTAATTCGGGGGATTGTTTGAATGAAATAGATCTTATTTAATCCCAACTGCCTTAAGTATGTTTATTTACCTACTTCTCCAAATTTTGAGTTCATGGCTATGAGCTTGGAGCATGAATAGTTTTGTTTTTAAATTTTCATTGAAGGTGTCCAACTAACTCCTTGTGGTGGGTGAAATTCATATTGGCACACTTTTCTCCACATATTAACTCGAAAGTCAGTCAAAATCCGCACACTTTCTCAGTGCTAATTGGGCCGACTTGTGACAGAACCGTTACCACAAATACACAAATCAAAAAATCATTTATGAGAACCGCAGTAATATTAGTTTCTATGACCACCTGACTTCCTCGGATAAACGTAAACACCCTGAAGGACAACAGCAACAGCAGCAGTGATTTCTGTGTATGGTATAGCGGTTTGACACAACGACTTGCGATACCCACAGCAACACGACCCACCCACCCCCTCTGCTAATCACATTGTAGAATAAAGACAATGAAGTGAGAGTAAACAATAAAGCGCGATTTTACGCTCTTCACGATAGGCAGGTGAGTGTAAATCACAATCGGTGGCCGGAAGTAGTTGGATGCGCAACTGTGGAGTCTCATGCATGTGTAACTTTGGCAACACGTGTCAACTGCAGAATGGAGGGGGAGATTTGATAAACAATAAGGAAAATTTATCGGGAGTTTTGAGTAACACTCATATTTAAGTGGTCTTTCGGAATTATATCTTCGCTTGCGTTAGTTTAGTGATCACCATGGCATTTATTTTACTAAAAGCATTCCTATTACAAGGTAATGTTCTTTGTTTTTATGGACTACAAATAATTCCTGCGGTTGTGATAAAATTTCAACAGTGAAGCCTTTTTCCAAGGATCAGCAATTCCATAATAATATGGCGAATAGATAAATTTCCTCAATTGCACCAAAAACAACTTTGATTTGATTTCACGAAGTGAATTTGCATTAATCATGGGATTGCGTTCGTTCAAATCGTTTTTAGGTTGACGTTTAATAAATTAAAATGACACTTTTTCACGGATTTATTCCCAAGAGCCTCCATCCAATATCCGTTTGCATATGAGTGATTTTTCGATTTGCTATTCAGAAACTTCTCGATAATTTAAAAATGGTTATTTTAAACTTTCTTTCCGTTTACGCGGGATTTGGACTTTTAACCGGGTTTTGAAATGTTTCCAGGGTTTCAGCCATATTAAGTTAATCAGGTGGGGTGTGCGATAGACTTACCTCCACGTGGTGCACCCTGGGCAACGTATATTCATACGGCAAAAAGTCTATAAAACGGCAGTTGACTTCTGAGTTCAAGCTATCATGACCCGACTGTATATCATATTCGATCTCTTCCGCAGTACTCACCTCACCTTTCATCTACCTTTGTGTCTGTCTCTGTTACATCTTTAAAACACTCTTCTGGTCACCCCCCCCCCTCTCGACTGTTTTCGATTTGATGTTCCTCTCCCTCTGTGAAGCCTGAAGTCAACTAAAGGGCTAATGATAACTATCATAAAGCCTGCCATTTGGTATAAATATATAAGTTAATCAGGTAAGTTCACGTGAGACTAAGTGGAATGTTTGACGCTAAGTGAATGAAATATCTTTGATATGTACTGGATATTAAATAAATAAGGCTTAACCAACACGATCTTCTCTGGGAATATCATTACAATAGTATTGAGAAAAATAGTAAGCATGAAGAATGTAGTGTTCAATAAAAGTATATCCAACGTCAAAACATGGACAGCAAAGACTACATTGGACGCAACTTGGAAGGAATAGTTATCATTTTTTTAGTTGAGAAGACCTCAGTAGCAAAGCCGAAC